CCTTCTCAGACTGAACAGGTGCTGGGCCAGAGCAGGTACAGGCACAGGCAGTATTGATATCCTCGTCTTCGATTTGCGCAGTGCAACAGCAGCCTCCACCAGGGAGACACCCGCTACCTGTGGCAACGGGATCTGGGGTCGATGTCGAATCGGCAGAGAGAGAATTAATCGAGACATTGTCCTTCTCGGAGATATTCTTGCCTTCATCCTGGGCAAAAGTCTCCAGCGTAGGGGGAGACACTGCCTGTGATGGTAGTGAGACAGATATAGGCGGATCTAGCTTTTCATCGCATGTGATATAAATGCTAATTTCAATTTCCTTTTCGAAATTTGAACGTGTGCGTCGACACTCACTCACGTCTGCCAGCAAAGATTGCAGTTCGGAATCAAAGTAAGTCAGCTGAGAACGTGATTTGATTACCCAGACAAAGCGTAACCGCTTGGTAGCTGTTAAACGAGCAATACGGGCAGGTATCTGCTCCTTGCTGCCGTTGCTCTCCAGCTTCCATGCTGAGACAATACCCCGCAGAAGAGGCACCGTGAATGTCGCACCCATGCCACCCGCCAGCAGTACAACACTGTCGAACTGCCGCAAGGGCCGGATGCTTCCATATGGCCCTTCGATAAAAACTGTCGAACTGGACATTCCCGCCACTTGTCTATTCCCCAATAGACTATCGCTCTTTGAGGCGTACCGGAAGAAACGTCTAGTTCCCCCATTCTCGGCACGAATAAAGAACTTCATCTTATTATCTTCTGGAATGGATGCGATGGTGAATGGGTGACATTGCAATGGAGCGACGGAGTGGCAAGTGAGGAAGACATGCTGGCCGGGTTGCCACCCGATACCCGGGTTTTCGATAGTAACACAAGTGACATTTCCAGGTAGTGGAGTGAACGTAGCCGAGTGTTCCCAAAGAGCATTGGCCTTATTCTTTCGATGGAAAATGGCCAAGTTCGCATATGCACCCCAAGTGTAGCGAGCAAGCCTATCGAAGACCAAAAGCCCAATTGGGATCCACACCCAGACCTTGACTTCATTAGGCGCATGCATCCATACCGCAACAATAAAGCCAACAAAGGTGATTAGATGCTGGATGACAAAGAACTCATAACTGAGCCGACGGATTGGAGCGAAGGAAGTGATCACAATAAAGGTCAGAATAACCCAAGCGGCAAACCCACGCTTCGTCAACGGATCGTTATAAAGCTGGTACGTGATATAATTCCAGCGACCCCAATCACGGAACCAGAATCCCATATGGATGGTGGTAGTCAACCACAGCGTCCGGGCAACCCAGCGATGGTACCAGTTCAAACTGACGTAGCTCATTCCTGCCAAGAACCCAATAATGTTCTGTCTGCCTGCCAGCAGAAAGATCAGCGGCAACTGGCAAATGGCGATGAAACCAGTGCGGTAGCCAACATCTTCCCATTTCCATACATCCGTAGTGTCCAGCTTGTAGAAACATAGGACCATGACTACCACCAGGTTGGCTAACATGATGAGAACGGGGCCAAGTGGCGGGAAATGGAGGGTCAATCCTCCGAGTCGAAACGGCCGTGGAGTCGCATAGCTGACTTCGCGGACTGTTGCTGTGACGGTGGCGTAGAGATTGAAGAACAGAGATTTTGGTTTGGCGGGCGTGAGTGAAGAATCTCGCAAGCTGATTATTGTCAGTCAAGATCACCGGATGTCAAGGCTCAACATACCGATGGCTAGCAATAACGCGATCCAGCACGTTCACAAGGGTTGCTGCCCCGATTGCACTTCCCACCACAGCCCAGTACATCTTCTGCAGGGTGAACAGACTGGGAATGCCATCGCCCATGGACATTGAGCCCGCAGGCATGTCACCCATTGCCATGGACATATTGTGCTGGAGGTGTAGAAGAAAGCATGAGATGGAAACCTACTAAGCATCACACAGGTGTCGAGGTCACCAATGTCACCAATAACAGAGCAGATTACCAATATTATGCTCATCCATGCTCACCTCCCGGGTTTGGGTCGAGGTGGGGTCCGCCATGTGGACACCCGTGGCACCGTTGGGCCCAATGCGGCAATGTGTAACTTCGTGTTTCGAAGGTTATTTCTCTTCTCCTTCATCTTCTGTTGATTCTCATACTCTCTCTCCTTCCTCAATCATAGAATCAATCAGAAGACATGGATATGACCAGCTCGACCTCACACAGTATGAGCTCCTCGACGAGCTCTATGAGCATGACTATGGTCTTCGAAAATTCGCACAACACGCCGCTTTTCTCCAATGCATGGACTCCTTCATCCTCCGGTGGCTTTGCAGGCACATGTATTTTCTTGATTATTCTCGCTATCATCGACCGATGCCTCATCGCTTTCAAAGTAACCATGGAGCGCCACTGGCTCGCCACACATCTCAACCGACGATATGTCACTGTGGCTGGCAAAAGCACCGAAGCTGCCAACATTGACTCCGACCCGGATGCGAAACTTGCATCGCTTATCACCGCGCAGGGCGTTGAAGAGTCAGTCAAAGTTGTGCACAACATCACTCATGGGCCAATTCCCTGGCGGTTCAGCGTTGATCTACCGCGAGCAGTCCTGTTCCTAGGCATTGTGGGCGTATCCTATCTACTGTAAGTTCTAGTATTTACTGGTATTGGGGCAAACGCTAATATCACGTCCAGCATGCTAGCCGTCATGACTATGAATATCGGCTATTTCTGTTCGGTGCTTGGAGGCGCTTTCCTCGGGGAATTGGCGGTCGGGCGCTTTATTCAAACTAATGAGCATGGCCACTGAAGATCTTACATTTGACTTTGATACGTTTTGCGCATGTGGAAATTATTTATGACTTGAGCAGCATCTGTCTGGCGTTGGGGATAATATGATAAGAATTGACTTGACTCTAAATTGCTCTCATCATAAATCTCTCTTCTCTTTTTCCCCTCCTCGCTGTCTCCGCGGTCCAGAGCTGCATGCAATCAGATGACTAAGCCCTGCGCGCGCAATTGAGCTAATTTACTAACCGGATCCGGACTAGCCCGTCGGTAATATCCACTTTTAGCGCTAGCGTAAGGCTTTAATTTACTTTGGTCTGAGTTACCAAAAACAGCAGGTCCATGCCATTATCTGACATAAGACATTGTCGAGAAATTGGAAGGTGTCTGAAAGTATACCTAGGTGCAGATATATAATTATCAGGTATAGCGCGGTATAGAAGCATCGGGGAGTGAAGTTCAGGTTATGGGAGCCTAAGGACCACTCCATAAAACAGGATCCCGGTGTCGGATGATTCCGAATCATGCAGTCTCAAAGAGGAAAGGGTCATTATTGCCGGTATATCGGATCCAACGGGGCTTTATAGGTGGACCCTGTTTTTTTCAAGTCCCGCTAACTCCCTCACCTTGTACATATATGCAGAACTCGTATAGACCTCCGGGTTCAAAGAGCTGAGTTTTCCCACTTTTTCTAGGATATCTACTCCTGTCTAATTCACTTGCTACACTTATTCCAACTCTTCTATTTCAATACGCCAACATACTCCCAATGAAGCTCTCCCTCCTCACCTTCACGGCCATCGTGCCATTGGCTGCCGCACACTTCAAGCTGATGTATCCAACCTCTCGTGGCTTCGACGAGGATACCATGCCCAATTTTCCCTGCGGTGGAATGAGCCAGTCTTCCAATCGCACAAAACTGCCACTGTCTGGTGGCTCATTCCCCGTCGCTCTTCAGATGCACCATTCCCAGACTGCCGTCGAAGTCCTTCTTGCTCTGGGCAGTGATCCGGGAGACAACTTCAACATTGTCCTCTCGCCAACTTTCCAGGTCAACGGCCTTGGCGAATTCTGTCTTCCTCACGTCGAGATCAATGAGAAGTTGATCGGCCGTAACCTCACCAATGGAATGAACGCTACCCTTCAGGTGCAGACCAACGGTGACCCAAGTGGTGGTCTCTATGCTGTATGTTCACTTCTCAATTTGGCGGTTTATTGCGGTATACTAATACAATACAGTGCGCCGATATCCAGTTCTCTTCCGATGTCACGTATCAGACACCATCTGCCTGTAGCAATAACACCAATCTCGCTGCCACCGCCTTCCCCGAGGCTTCTGCTGCACGTAATGCCAACGAGTCTACTGCTGAGGGTCAGGCACAGAGCGGATCCTCATCCTCATCCACTTCGACTTCGACTGCCTCTACTTCCACTTCCACTTCCACCTCCAATGGTGCTGCTGTACCGATGCAAACCGCCGCTTGGGGATTTATTGGTGCTGCTCTCGTCGGTGGTCTTGCTGTGCTGTAAAAGCTGATTATTTGGTTTCTTTTACTTTATTGTCTTTGGTCGCGGAGTTTAGCGGTGCATAATAAACAATGATGTCTTCTCTCACACGAGACGATCCTGTTGCGCTCACACGACTAATCACATCGCAGAATGTGACATGCACCCTTTTGTCACTTGCTGATATTCCAGCCATGTTCCGCGTAGAAGATTGGGGTAGTCTGAATATTGCGTTCTCATCGTTCTGCTGTCTTCTTTCCGACAGGATGAGCCTTACAATTAACCCTCTGTTGCATCTGCTGACCTCTGCTACTTCAAGACGAAACCGGCGGCCGACAACGCGACAGGGAATTCCCAGTCACCTATGCCGACAGCGCAGCGAAATTGAATGCCAAATTCTACGTTACAGATAGAGAGTACATCAAGGACATTGACAATTTGAGATCAATGACCTCTGCAATCGCTATACCCTGACGAACAGGTCTACCCAGAAGATGGTAATCCCACGTGTCGTCCTAGTCATCATTCGCGAAGTATTTGGTTTAACAAACCGATAGTCTCGGTAAAGTCCAGTATTCTCCTCATCGCCCTTGCATGGCAGTGGAAGGCAGATAGTATGAAGTGTCACGTGTGCGGGTAGATTGACCTATATCAGGCAACTACATCTCAAGACATTCGGAGCATCCAACAAACTGAGAGAATCGCTAACATAGTCCTGGACATAGTCCATGATGGAGAACCTTGAGATACTGCGTCCAGTTGGTAAGTAGATCCTGATCCCTGTCAAAAGCAGTCGGGAACCTTCTCCGAAAGTCAACAATGCCTGACCCCAGTAAGGTCGATTGGAACAATATTCAACGTCACGTCATCAGCTTATGTTTTACTTAAACGTTGCTGTATCAGCAAATTATTTCCTACCAGACTCGTTCGTGCTACCTGTCAAAGACTATGTCTATCAGGCATGCGAGGCCGCAATCGCGGAACATCCGTCGCTATCCGCCATTGTGGCGGACGAAGACACACAAGACCCCTATTTCGTACGGCTGCCAGAAATTGATCTTGACCAAGTTGTGTCTTTCCAGGACAGAAAACCAGGCTTGTTAAGTACCGAAGCTGATGGCGAGCCTACCCCGGATCTTGACCTGCAAACCTTGCTTGCGACCGAGCATAACACGCCTTTCAGGGCTCCAAATCCCTTCTGGAGAGTCTCTGTCCTTCTAGATATAGAAGATGAGCGGCAATTTACTGTGGCATTTGTATATCACCACGCCATTGGCGATGGAACATCCGGGAAAGCCTTCCATCGGACCTTCCTACGAGCCCTAGGCGTAACGGAGTCCTCGGACCAGACTATATCCATCGTCAAGTCTCCGAACCTCCCTCTCTTGCCAAATATCGAGGAAGTGCACCCAATGTCTTTTTCCTTATTCTATCTTGCGAAGAAAATAATCCAGGAAAAAGTATACTCCCGACGACCCACAGGTCTATGGACTGGCTCCAAGGTCCTACTCCCCACTCAAACCCGCCTGCGGCTCGTGCCATTCTCCAGACTCCTTGTCAAGGCAGTAAGAGACAGATGTCGACAAGAGAGTACGACAATCACGGCACTTCTGCAGACGATTGTCGCTCGCTCTATCTTCGCACACATCCCGCCTGAGTTCACGCGGCTCGCCTGCACCGGCGCGCTCTCGAGCCGGCGCTGGCTGCCAGATTTTATCGCTGATGAATCAATGGGTGTCTGGGTCCAGGACTACGAAGAGACCTATTCCCGGGCGACAGTCGCACCGTCTGAAGGCTTCCCATGGGCAGAGGCTAGACGGTCTCGTAAGACGATTCATTCTGTCCTGAAAATGAAAGGGAAAAATGCTAGCACGAGTCTGCTTCAGTTTGTCGATAATTTTCAGGAGGAATTGTGTTTGTCCAAGGTTGGCAAGGACCGTGATAAGAGCTTTGAGGTGTCGAATATCGGCGTTTTGGACCCGCAAACAAATTCTGACCTACCTTCTATCAAGGGGATGGTTTTTTCCCAGTGTGCCAGTGTGATGGGTAATGCCATTGAGGTGTCGGCTGTTACTGGGGGGGATGGGTGTTTGGTGCTAGCTGTCTCTTGGCAGCAAGGGGTTGTGGAAGCTGATCTCATCAATGAGATCGTAGAATCGACCAAGCAGGACCTATATTCTCTTGACGTGGCGTGATCAATGGGGATCATTCTTGCTTAGGTATCGACTTTTTAATGTTTAATAGTGCATCCATAGACTTATCGGGAGCGCTCTTCGGATGCTGTTATCAGGTGGGCGGTGAGAGGGCGATAACATCGGCGGCAGAATCATGGGGAATCTACAGTCTGACCTTTCCCAACCTTCTTCTTAACATCTCATAACATATAACTATCAACTTTCAATATGACTCGTGGCCCCTACATTGTTCCGGCGCTCAAGAAGCACACTGCCACTGTCATCATGGCCCACGGGCTGGGAGATAGGTAAGTGTATCGCTGGAAGATAAACGCTAGTATCAAGTCTAACAGTGTTCGAATCTAGTGGTGCCGGATGGTATGAAAATGCCCATCAATCGCCTAGCCTAAGCCAATGAGCGTCGCATCTGACCATGATTTTCTAATTTCTAATAGGATGTCCCTTGCCCAGACCTGGCGCCGCCGCGGCAAGTTCGACGAGGTGTCCTTCATCTTCCCCAATGCGCCCGACATCCCGATCACAGTTGTATGTGAACCTCATATTCATCATCAATTGAATATCCATTGACGAGGTTTTAATTAGAACTTCGGCAGGCCCATGCCTGGGTGGTACGACATCTCGAAACTTGGCGGTGATGTGAGCCCTCCATGCCCAAAATTCCCGAATAAACTCATAGCCCTGACCATTATCTCCTTCTATCTAGTTGGAGTTCGAAGAATTCCTTAAAAGCCAGGATGAACCAGGGATTATCCGCTCCCGCGACTACTTCAATAGCCTCATCGAGCAAGAGATGGAAAAGAATATCAAGGCTTCACGTATCATCCTGGGTGGGTTCTCCCAGGGAGGTGCGATGTCCGTATTCGCCGGTGTGACCAGCAAGGAAAAGCTCGGTGGTGTTTTCGGTCTATCATGCTACATGCTATTGAGCGACCGGATTAAGAACTACCTGCCCGAGGGGTGGCCCAACAAGAAGACGCCGTTCTTCCTTGCCCACGGTCTCGAGGACAACGTTGTTCCATTCGCATCTGGCAAGACTTCGGCAGCTAAACTTAAGGAACTTGGCCTAGAGAATGTTTCCTTCAACCAATACGAGTATGTTTTGGTCGCTGTTGTTCTGAGTTGTGATGGTCTGCTAACTTGATATTCCTACGTTGCAGAGATCTTGGTCACTCGGCGACCCCCGAAGAAATCGATGACCTAGAGAAGTTCATTGAGAAAGCGCTCGCCACTGAAGGAGAGGGTAGTGCTTCTGCTGGCTTATGACTTAGTCATGATCAGAACGAGAACACCGAAATTGGTCTTTGGGGATATACCTTAATCATGGGTTTTGTGGTACTGCTTGCTGCTGTCATCTGGTCTAGATATCAGTTGTCAAAGCAGAAACAATCTATACAGACGCAGCATTAACAAACCCAACCCAGATCCAGCTTTGAGATACATAATAGTGCAATTCAAATACCGGTCTTGTAAGTGTGAGTGGTAAAATCGGGCCTCGCCTGCTTAGCGTAGGGACCTCGGAATATATATATATCTCTATGTCCACATGATGTATTTCACCGACGCATTTACTGCTTATAGCTAGGGGATATTTACCGCCAGGTGGTATCAAATGTACATTAAAACTTGCGCTTGCTAATGCCTATGTAGTTTATGATAGCCGTGGTCTATCTACTACATGTGCGCAGTTATCCTAGAACCTGGCCGCCGGTCGACCATAGACCTAGAAGAAACCTCTAGATGGTGTGTGTATACATGCAGCGTGATTGCAGTAAAGGAGGTTTGCTTTTAGATTATAATATTGAAAAAAACTCTTCAGAAGTCGGTAGTTGTACATTGATATAAGCCTCAGATATCGAGGCTGTAGATGCAAGATGAGGGAAGAGTCACAAACGTATCGTACAGCCAATAAAATCATGACATACGCCCAGGGATATCCAAGATTGCAGATAGTGCAGAAACTTCGGGCATTCGAAGCCTCGAGATTGGAAAGAACAATTGTGGGAGGGGAAATCAAAACACTGGCAGGAGAGGTGGAGGTTCGGAGATGTAGATAGATCAAATTCTCTGTGCAGACACAGCATGATCACAGATCAATAGTCGAGGCGCAATGGTCTAGTCGGGGGATTATTTTTCACCCAGCATTTCCTTGCGCATCTCCTCCCGTTGTGTCCGCGTTTGTTCCTTCTCATGTGCGCGTTGTGCGTCCAGAGCTGCTTGCTTTTTATCTAATTCTTCCTGGGCGGCGTACCAGACTAGAAGAATTGATTATAACCATTAGCCACGGATGCACTCCCAGGGCCGAGAGAGCCCGATACCGCAGGTATAATCATCTCCGGAGTAAATTGCGAGTACAAGACATACTAGACTTATCGGACTTGGACCACTCCTTCAGCTTAGTGACGTAGTCATCGAATTCCTGCGCCCGGCGGTCTCCCTGTTCGGCGCTGCGCTTCTGCAGATCCGGGTTGTATTGCTTTCTAAGCTCTTCGTCGGAGGGTCGGAGATATTCGACAAGAGCGGGGCCACCGACGACCATGAGGAGGCCACTACGGTGAGAACCGAATGTGAGCACAAGTTTTTGTGACGATGCAGGCGAGTATCACTTACCCAGCTATGGTCTTCGCCCATAATCCGGCGCGAGACATTGTGGTAAATCCGAAGCGTGGATGCTGATTACCGATTTGAGGCTTCGGTATGACGATGTGTTTCTCGGATGACTCGGGGAGATATAACTCGAGATGCTAAGACCGATGGATCATTAACATCATCGGGGTTCTCATTTGCTGTTAGAGGCGGCGTGGCGCAGCCGATGTGGCGCAGTAATACGCTTTGCCCGATCGAGCGTGCCACTTGTATCACTTTTTGTCGCTTTTTCCGTCATTCTTGAGGAAGTAGTCCGAGACAGGATGTGGAGTCTGTCATACATATGTATACTTACAAAGTCCATACTTCCGAGGTAGCGACATGTTATACGGAGTACAAGCTTGGGCAGTCCTCAGGGGTGCTGTGCTGCCCGATTGGTCTAGGGTGTTTAGCTTAGTCATCATGGTTTGCGGGACCCCTGAGCAGCTGTAATCCTTAAATATGGCTAATATCACGGAGTACAAGTACAGTTACCAGGGAAGTACAACTGGATGCCAACAAGTCCCGTCGGCTTTGAAATTGAGATTGTGATGGGCTTGCAGGACGACAAAGTGGGTAGGATACCGGGCCCCAGCTTCACCCCTGATCGTCAGGCACGGAGTGGACTGAATTACATGTACTCCGTAACTTTCGGGCTTTACCTTCACATACAATGATGTACTGTATAACAGCTGTATATTGCATCGAAGCATCAAAGACAGTGAGAATAATAATAGGAATATGGGTCTATGACGATACTGCAGTTTTCTATTTCCCACTTGCGTTAGTCCTCTAAACGGCCGCAAAGGAGATTGGATACTATAAAAAGGGAAAGTATAATAAAGCATGAAGAGCATGAAAAGCATGAAAAGCATGAAAAGCATGGAAAATACGAAAAACAAAACAAAAAGTGTCTGGCAGTTGTGGGTCAAGCGATTTGTTTAATTTAAAGGGTCACCTGCGACCGCCCCTAAATCATTCTGCCCCCGCTTGCTTTACTCTTTACTTGAACTTCGAACTCACTTTGGAGTGTGGCTCCTGACCACCCTCAGGTGCTTGATCAGCTTGCGGCAGGCGCGTTGGTCATTCGACACTGTTGTTTGGCATTGCGCGAGGTACCTAGGTAAGGATCAGTGTGGAGTCCCAAGGGTTGCCTTCTCAGGATATCCATGGATCGTGAAATGAGTAAGCTAACTCCAAAGTGCAGCCCTGGAGCCCTGGAGTTTACCGAACTGTCCCCTCCTTGCATGCGACTGCCCACAAGATTTGCACGACCGTGAACGACCCTCGAAGACTACTCGAATCACCACAGTTGTATAGTACGCTTGTCGGCCTGCGCCATGTCATACCCCCAACAACATCAAGCGCAGAGGCCGCCTTTGCGACAATATAGCAATCCCCCTCCGCGTTCTGTGACATCGCCAGGAGGATATTCGCAAGATGGCTCCCACGGAGGATACAGCGACGGTGGCATGAGTAGCCATAGCTACCAGCAGACTGACCCGGGCTACGACGATGCGGCATACAGCTACCAGTCCACCTCCGGTTCGCAATCATATGCTTCTACGAGTTCTCAGCCACGCTCGATGCGACCGCCGGGACCACCAGGTCCGGGAAATGGACGACCGCCAGGCCCTGGATACGATGATCGGCGGGGCTATCCTCCTGGCGGAAGACCACCCCCGCAATCGCGGTCAAGAACACGTACGTAAATTCAGACAGGGACCTCAAAGCCCTACTAACCGACTATAAGCTGGCGCACGCCCACCCCCAGGCGGTACCTTCGATAATCCTTTTCCCTCCTTTCCAAGTCGAGACCCAAGAGATCCGAGGCCGCCCACAGACCCACGAGATCCTAGAGCCCCTAGAGACCCAAGGGATCGGCGCGGTCCGCCACGAGGGCTAGAGAATGATATGGCTGCAATGGACATTAATGGCAGGGGTCCACCTAGATCGCACACTGTGAATTCCGATGGAAGACGGCCAGATATGCGACAGCCACCTCCGCGCGGAGGTCCGCGCGGACCTCCACCAGGGCGGGGCCGAGGTGGCTATCCAATGGGTCCAGTGCGAGCTGCTAGTTCAGGCAGACCAGGTCGACCTGATAGAGACTATCCAGACTCCATGGGCCCGTCTATGCATCCGCCACCAAGAAGCGCAACGATGCCGCTCGTTCCAGGCGCACCACTCTACTCAGGCGCACCACTCTACCCAGGCCAGTCGACCTACCAAGAAACAGATTACCCAGCGAGCTCCATGAAGGAACCTCTTATGCGTCCTGATACTGCTGGGAGCATGCGACCCCCACGGTCTCGTGCCCCCAACGATATAGACCCAGGACTGATGATCCCCGCCACTACATTGATGATCCCCCCGGAGCCCGCCAATCGTGTTTCATATGCGCCCAAGGACTTTCTGGACAGCTATTATGAGTCTGGTGCTGGTGCTGCCGATGAACCCGATATGCCTAATTTCGATGCCATGCCCGACCCTCGTCATGCCCCGATTGATGAGATGGGCTTGGACATAACACCCGTCAAGAGACCGGTCCATGGACCGTCTTCTTCGCTCGAAGAGTACTCATATACCCCCAACGGGTTGGAGGCTATGAACTCCCAATCTCAACCAAATTTTCGACAAGCAGACGGTGCCGGTGCCAATCAGTTTGAAAATGCGGGATTTCAGTTTGGTATTCCTGGAGAAGCTTCCCATGCTCCCGCTTTCGACCACCCAGGCTCTGCTGGGTATTTGTCGAACGGTTACGAAGATTACGCCGGTTACTCACATGGTTCTTCCCCTGTCCGATCCAACCAGCCAGGCTATTCCCACGACCAGGCTGAGATGTCAGATCCTCATCAGAATCCCGATACTCTTACTCACCACCCAGCCCCATTCCGCCCCGGTCACGATCAAGGGTCCAAACCTGCGCCGGTTCGGCAGTACATCACTCCTGAATCTATCCCAGCCCTCGCTGCTCCACAGCCAATGATGCCTAGTGGAACGGTTCAGGCGCCTGTCACGATTGAAGAGATACAGCGGCTACAACAACAGGCGCGAGCCAATCCATCTGATCAGAAGACTCAACTTCTGCTCGTCAAAAAGCTAGTCGAGGCTTCGACGGTTCTGGTAGAGGACAACAGCAGACTGGATCCGAAAACCAAAGCCAAGGCCAAGGAGAAGTACGTGATGGATGCACATAAGATCCTCAAAAAGCTTGTTACAGCCGGGTATTCTGAGGCCCAGTTTTTCCTGGCTGACTGCCACGGTGAGGGTCTAATGGGGCTGGAAGTCGACCCCAAAGAAGCTTTCTCACTATATCACTCTGCTGCGAAGCAAGGCCACGCACAGTCTGCATATCGCGTGGCTGTATGCTGCGAGATCGGACAGGAAGAAGGTGGTGGCACCAAACGTGATCCATTCAAGGCCGTTCAATGGTACAAGCGCGCCGCTGCGCTTGGTGATACACCAGCCATGTACAAAATGGGAATGATTAATCTAAAGGGACTGCTGGGTCAAGCTCGGAACCCCCGGGAGGGTGTATCGTGGCTTAAGCGGGCCGCTGACCGTGCGGACGAGGAAAACCCGCACGCTCTCCACGAGCTTGCCCTCATGTATCAGAACGCTGGCGGGAATGATATGATCGTCCGCGACGAGCAGTATGCCTCCCAGCTATTCCATCAAGCTGCCGAGCTGGGCTACAAGTTCTCTCAATTCAAGCTTGGTACTGCTTATGAGTACGGTCTGATGGGATGCCCTATTGACAACCGCACGAGTATCATCTGGTACACTCGTGCCGCGGCCCAGGGTGAACATCAGAGCGAACTCGCCCTTAGTGGTTGGTATCTTACCGGATCGGAGGGTATTCTATCGCAAAATGATACCGAGGCTTATCTGTGGGCCCGAAAGGCCGCCACCGCAGGTCTTGCCAAGGCAGAATATGCTATGGGATATTTCACCGAGGTCGGAATCGGCGCTGCTGCTAATCTAGATGACGCAAAGAGATGGTACTGGCGCGCAGCTGGTGAGTTGACCTCCATTTGACTGTTTTTCGCTCTAGCCTCAGCTAACTTTTTTTTCAGCCCAAGGATACCCCAAGGCCCGTGAGCGTCTTGAAGACCTTAAGAAGGGCGGAAGCCGAATGCAAAAGACTCGCCTCTCACGCTCAGCCGTTAACAAGCAGAGTGATGGGGACTGCGTTCTCATGTAATTGGATATTTTCGTCCTTCATGATTTGCCACGCTTGAAATATGGCTTCCATGTATGCATCTCTCTTCATGATGACCGGCGCTTGATGTATTCTACCCCGGTCCAGAACGCTTCTCTTCTACCCCATGGACTGCTGGATTACTTTATTTTCTTACTTGCTCATATCCTTTTTTTTCCAATGCCCTTCCTTGTCTCGAATTGCTCTTCTTTTCTTTACCTTCTTTGCTCCCCCCTTTTATCCTTATTTTTTTTTTACGAATGGGATGTGTATGACTGGAATGGACACGGTGAAGCCAATATCAACTGGTTGTAGCATTTGTATACATTAATAGATTGTTGAACGACTTTTCTTTTTAACGTACGATGTATACATATACGAAGAAATCCCGATTTCCCTCGAGATACCCGTAAACCCGAGCCAATGCTGCAGAGCGGATATATGGGTTGTCAGCGGGTGAATTCCGCACTGACTGAATTAATTTCCAATGCTCGGCCTTATGATCGGGCTCTCTGCGCTTCCAAAAGCATCTAATTAATCAGCTCTAGTTCCTTGGAAAAAGTTGTCTTTCTTTTTGTCTGAACATTTCAATATAAATAGGAGCTGTTTGGTGATTTCTACAAGGTAGTATATTGCCAGCTCCATCCGAAACAAGCCATATATGTCTTCCGAAAGCCGACATAACGACTCGGAAACACGAACACCCCATTCATTCAGCGGACACAAAATCGCTCTTGTCACTCTTTTGACCGTTCTCACGGCCGTACTTATTGCCCTATTCTGGGAAGACACCGCCAATCTGTTCGGCTTCCGACGCCTCCTTGGATCTTGCGCGCGCTCAGCGGCAGTACCTCTATCAGCTTCAACTTCCGTTGCAGCAGCTGCGACAGTGAAGGGGAAATCAGACGTACAATCCAGCATGAAAACACCTATTTACTTCCTCAGCCATGGCGGGGTGAGTTATCTATATCCTGGTTCTTATCATGGACTAAAAGCTGATTTGATACCCACAGCCAAATGTCATGTACGAGACCGATCACCCGGCTTACCGTAAGCTCGGGGAGATTGGGCGCGAGATAACAACCAAGGTGAAGCCGAAGGCTGTCGTGGTATTCTCGGCGCATTGGCAGGCCGGTCGAAATACGATCCAGGTGAATACCGCCGAGAAGACTGATTTAATCTATGAGTATGTTTGATATCGAAATCATGGAAATCCCGAACTAACTGGATTTAGCTTCTATGGCTTCCCAGGTCATTACTATAAAGAGAAGTACCCAAATGTGGGTAGCAAGGAATTAGCAAATGAGGTCCTGAGATTGTTGAAAGAAGCCGATATCCCGGCCGAGGGCGTTGAGCGCGGACTCGACCACGGCGTCTGGGCTAGCTTCAAGTGCGGTATGTGACAATTTGCATCAAAACGGAAACCAGACGCTGACGAGGACACTGCAGCCTTCGAGCCAGAAACAAACCCACTGAACGTTCCCATCGTGCAAGTCTCGCTCTTCAACACAGAAGACCCAGACCAGCACTACCGACTCGGACAGGCAGTCGCGAGTCTTCGCGAGCAGAATATCCTGATCATCGTGTCTGGGATGGCTGTGCATAACCTGCGCGATATGCGGTTTGCCTTTGGCAGTTCGACCCCGATGCCGTATGCGGTTAGCTTCGACGAGGCGCTTAAGGATGCCGTGACGACTGCACCTGCTGAACGGCAGAAGGCCATGGCTGAGTTGTTAAGCAGACCAGACGCACGCCAGGCTCATCCTTCCTTTGAGCATTTACTGCCTATTCATATTGGGGCTGGTGCTGCGGCCGAGGACCTGGGGAAGAGGATCTGGACGTTCCCCGAGGGGAGTATGAGCTGGGCGCAGTATCGGTTTGGTGAGGTTGGCAATGTTAGTAGCGCGTTGTAAGAGATATCATCGAATCATCACCGGAAGTAATTAAATTGGATTTGTTTTGTTTTGGATATGAGCTTCGATTTCATTTATAGGTACAGAAGATGGGCGTAGGACGGTGGGAACGCGGGGGGCATAAAATAGATCTGCAGAGAAACAAAAACAAGTTATAGCTCCTGCTTCACCAATTGTGTAATGCGCTCTTCGATCTGCGCGTCCGACAGGCCTAGAATCATCAATTAGCATTGCAACCTGATGCAAAATTATGGTTGGCGGGGGATATTCACCGGACAACCCTTCTTGCTTCTCCTTGCCGAAAGCTATTGAGAGGGCCGATCATGTTAGCTTGATTCGCTTATCCAAAGAGCCCACACAATGGGCTTATAGGTGTGTGTTCTGTCATACCATATCGGGCATAGACTCGCGGCTGGGTGCCTGCGGCCTCGCGGATCATGATGGGAGTCTGGGGGTTGTGCTTCTTCATAGTCGGGTAGGCGCGGTTCAAGAAAGACCTATAGGCACAAAAGAAGGTCGATCAGTGGGCTGGAACTCCAGTCGGCCATGGATAGGGGTGTACGCACCTTGTGGCCGCGCTCGCTTCGGAGGTCTGGCAGAAGAGGAAGCGGAGCTCCTTCAGGCCTTGAGTGAAAACGTACTTGCCAGTCATAGTGGCAGGATGGTCAAGCAGACGTAAGTATTAGGAAAACAGATGTCTCAGATGAGCCACGGGGGAATGGGCGTGGGAGCAGTGGGATTGATTTGCTGGACAGTCTGCGATGCAGTTCATTATTCACGACGGCGTTGATTCGTTGCGCAGCCATAATCCCGCTAGTCCCGATATCAACTAGCGCACTATGCTTACTCAGCTTCAACATCTACCGAGGCCTCATATCTAGCGACAGCACAGGAGTGATGATAAGTAGGGGATAATTAATCGGAGTAGATGATAGGGATTACTTGAGAGTACTCCTTTTATCTTCTATAGACTATATTTTTATCTACCTGCGGGTGTGGTGCTTTAGTGCGCTATCTACCGCTCCCAACAGAAACACCGCCGCCGCCTTCACCGACGACCTTCCCGAGGTCCATCCCTCTTCTTTCTCACCAGAACCATCATCTCAGCTATCAACATGTCTTCTCGCGTGGGTTTCCGCTTTGTAAACAACGCTCGATTCGCGTTCCGCAATGCATCTGCGCCATTCCGTCGGCCAGGTGCTCAGGGCTTCCGCTGGCAGAGCTCCGAAGCCGGTGCTGCTGAGCATCAGAACGCCTTCCAGCGTCTATGGAACAGCCCTGTTGGTATGAAGACTGTCCACTTCTGGTAAGAATTCGAATCATGCTGCATTGCTTGTCTCTTTTGCTACTACGAATTGATGCTAACTTCCTGTTTCACAGGGCCCCGGTTATGAAGGTATGATAACTCGATTTCCTGGTCTGACACACCATCTATACCCCGAGCTGCCCTTCCGGATACAACGTCTCTATCAGACTTCACCGTATATTGCGAGGATTCTCTCCGCGCCTGCTGAGTACGATGCCTAACATATTCTTCTCTAACAGTGGTGCCTGGTCATCGCGGGTATCTCCGACTTCGCTCGTCCCGCCGAAAAGCTCTCTCTCACCCAGAACGCTGCTCTGATGGGCACTGGTGCCATCTGGACTCGCTGGTGTATGATCATCAAGCCCCGTAACGTCCTGTATGTGGAACCCGATAGCAGACCCGCCGGCCATCAATGCTAACACGACATAACTTTATAGGCTCGCCGCTGTGAACTTCTTCCTTGGATGCGTGGGTGCCGTCCAAGTGACTCGTATTTTCTTGTGGCAGCGCAGCCAGTCTCACTCATCCCTCGAAGCCGCCAAGGTGATTGAGCATGAAGCTGTTGACTCCGTCAAGGCTACCGCCGAGGCGGCTGAGGGTGCCGTGAAGAAGGCTATTAAGAAGTCGACTTAGATAGGAAAAGAATTCTGTGAGGACGGCGGGGGGACTTGGAAGAGTGTTCCTGAATACATCTCAACCGGTATCTATAGCCACATTTTACCTGCGCCGAGGTGATCCTCAAGGGAATCTTGAGGTTAAGCGAGCTTGCTTGCCTGGGACGACCGCTGTCTCGTGTCCTCGAGAATTCAGTCCTCTAATTAAACAGCGTTGTACATATAAACCATGTTTCAAAATGTTTGGTTACTGTTCCTTTTGCGAGACATGGTCAAGAATTCCGAAGAAATTTACTAGCATTCGTCTTGTAATCCCAACTATCTTCTGTTTGGTAGTTACTATTCAGAAAATCATGGTGCTGACGGTATCTCGCTCCATTGCTTCGAAATATATTGGATCTAGGGACTTTACCCGGTTTCTCCGCACATTGCGGAGTAGCTTGTTTCCCCGGAATAAATTGAAGGGGATGTGGTTACCCCATCGCATGACCGCAAAGGGGGATGCTTAGCTTTGACCCAGTTGAGCTAGATTGGGGTAATAGAGGAAATAAATTGTCAATGCGGAGAATATATAAGCTGTTCTGGAGGTGCTCGAGCCGAGAGGATTGTCAATCTAACTCAAAGAATCCCCTAGATCCTCTTGACACCGACGATGAAGATTTCAAGTACTTTCAACCAGGCCTTGGGATTTTGTTTGTTAATTAGTGCCGCAGTTCAGGCCAAGGGATACTCTCGAAGCGAGGCGTGCCACCCGCACCATCCATTCAAGCCCCTTCCGGGCAGCCAGGCCAGAACTCGCACCTGTCATGTAGTCAATCATGGCCATGGACGCGACGATTCAGCCAATGTTCTTACCGCATTGAAGAAATGCAACAATGGGGGATAGGTTGTCTTTGATGCTGACAAGACATACACGATTGGAAAGGCACTTGACATGACTTTCTTGAAGCATGTGGATCTCGGTATGTAATACGCGTTGGTGTCCAATATGAGACGCGTGATTACTTACGCAAGCTGTCATAGAAATCCAAGGCCATATCCAATTTAGCAATGACACGGATTATTGGCAAGCCAACGCATTCAAGCAAGTCTACCAAAACGCCACAACGTTCTTCCAGCTCGGTGGTGAGGATGTCAATGTTTACGGTGAGGGTACTCTGGATGGTAACGGCCAGGTCTGGTATGACTTATATGCAGAGGATGCCCTCATCTTGCGGCCGATTCTGTTAGGTATAATTGGGCTAAATGGAGGTACCATTGGACCTCTCAACCTTCGTTATTCGCCTCAGTGGTATCACTTTGTGGCAAACTCATCCAACGTCCTTTTTGACGGAATTGATATCACTGGGTTCAGCAGCAGTGCGAATGTGGCTAAGAACACCGACGGATGGTAAGTCATCTGATCAAAAGAGGAACTAGCTTCATTTAACTAATACCTTACATAGGGACCTCTATCGGTCAACGGATATTGTTATCCAGAACTCCGTGATTAACAACGGAGATGGTTAGTTTCTTTTGGAAAATTGAAGCCGGTCTTCTTTTACTAACAGTATCCAAGATTGCGTCTCATTCAAGCCCAATGTTACCGACATTCTGGTCCAAAACCTTCATTGCAACGGCTCCCACGGTATCTCTGTTGGCTCTCTAGGCCAATACCCGGGCGAGATTGATATTGTGCAGAATGTGCTCGTCTACAATATCTCCATGTTCAACGCATCGGTAGGTTTAGTACTGGAGTGACAGAATTGCGTCTCTAACAACCATGAAGGATGGTGCGCGTATCAAAGTCTGGCCTGGGACTCCCTCTGCGCTCTCTACCGATCTCCAGGGCGGCGGCGGATCGGGCCTGGTGAAGAACATTACCTACGACAGCATGACCATTGACAATGTCGACTATGCCATCGAAGTGACCCAATGCTACGGCCAGAAGAATTTGACACTCTGCAACGAGTTCCCCGTAAGTGTCCATCAATCTCCTTTTGTCCCTCTTTTCTTCATTCCGAATTGATATCGTCGCTATGGTTTGTTTCTGGTCGCCGAAGGCTAACACATACATCACACAGAGCAAGCTTGTTATTGAAGATGTTTTCTTCAAGAATTTTAATGGTGTCACCTCTGGGAAATATGACCCTTATGTGGGCACGATTGTCTGCTCAAGTCCCGATGTAAGTGCCTGAGCACCACCGGCTATAACTCTCCATCTGACTTGTACAGGTTTGCTCAAATATCAACGCCAGTGGCATTGACGTTGTTAGCCCCGATGGGAATGATCAGTATACTTGCACAAACGTGGGTTCATGTTGAATATTGGTGCAACACTGAAAACAGATTTACTGACTTATTTCCTCTGCCTTTTTAGGTCGATGACAATTTGCTGGATTTGAATTGTGCTTCCTCTAGCTAGTGATGAGAATTGTTGGTACATACTGCATGATAGAATGGATCTTGTGAGTGTTTCCGGGGTTTAAATCCACTCACATTCTGTACAAAGTACAGAGTAGCTACTTCGTAGAAAAGTTTCACCTCTTCCCCGAGCCGGATTTGATGCCGGTTTACAATAGCCGAGCCTGCCTACTCCATACCCGCTCCATACATAGGCAGAGATAGATGGTACTGTTTCCCAATCATACCCTCACATTGGAATTTGCTATCAATACAGAACTACAGCGAGCCACATAGTCTATAGACCCCACTATTATTACATCCCGTGTGCGCCTGGCCGTGCATATGTATGCACACAATCTACTCTAGTTTCCACTCGATTACGTCGATATTCTTTTTAAATATCTCCCTTGCTTCTTTTTTTTCTTTCCTATTTCCTTTCTTTTTCTAAGTGGGCCTTTCTACACCGCATTGCTGGAACTGAACTCTGTATTATTCGGGATTCCTGCGCTGAGCCACTGCAGACATGTATTTAACCTCCTAATGACACTCCCAAACAATATTTTCATACCTCACTAAGAACTTCTTTGCAAATCCGAGTGACAACAGAAGAAACTTCTTATGTTTGAAATCCAATACCTTTCCTCTCGGCCTTCCTTATATCAAGATCTATCATGCACCCGGATTCCCAACTCGAGACCGCCGTCAAAAACGGCTTTGACCCAAAGAGCCTCTACAGTACAGAGTTGACGAAGGTCAATGAGCCAGCGAGAACGATTCTCGAGCAATACAGCAAGATTCCGGCGGAGAAGATTTTGCAACATGTGAAAGATTTGGTTTGTGGCTCAACCCCACACGTAAACGATAACATTTATTGACACTCAGTAGAAAGATCGTGCCTTTGAAGTTGTGAGAGCTCCTCTAAGTCCATCTTTTCTGAGGCCAAAGGGTTGTTGGCTGACATGAAATTTTGCCTACTTGTTAGTTCCCTTATGCCTGTATTGGACAAGCCTCATTCCTTGAGCTGAGCATCGCATCGTCCCCATGTTATCCTGAGATGCTTGACCGTGTCAAGAAGGGAGACAGACTACTTGACCTGGGATGTGCATTTGGACAGGAACTGCGACAATTGGTAAGTTGTGTCGAGCAAATGAATAACATCCGACGATTGCATCTTTCCCACCATAACCAGAGCCGGCTAATCAGAATAATTCCGGAAATTCAGATCTATGACGGCGCCCCGTCGCAAAATCTGTATGGAACGGACCTTCGTCCTGAGTTCCTTGAGCTTGGCCTTGACTTGTTCCTGGATCGCTCATTTATCAAGTCCCATTTCATCGATGCCGATGTCCTCGATGATAAATCTGCTCTCGTTACTCAGCTGACAGGCGAGCTCAACATTGTCTATATCTCCCTTTTCCTTCATGTCTTTGACTTTGAAACACAAATCAAGGTAGCCAAGAGGGTACTTGATTTGCTTGCCCCGAAGGCCGGTTCACTCATCGTGTGTCGGGTTGTGGCCTGTCGGGACCAAGCGATAGCGAACGCCACCAACGCGCGCCTGCCATATTATTACCATGACTTGGCTAGTTGGAACCGGCTGTGGGAGCGTGTGCAGGAAGAAACGGGGCTAAAGCTAAAGGTCGACAACTGGGAACAGGATGATGCTTTGGCAAAGAAGCATCCTCTAGAGGGCATCTATATGCTGGGTTCATCGATTCGCCGGGAGTAGGGCCTGAATGACTGCTCGTCTGTAGTACATTACAATGAAACATTTGCAAGTGGCTGTATTGTATACTATACGTCGTAATTTCAATTGACGATCACGGCAGGGATGGCGAACTGAACGCTGGCAACGAGACAATCTGATTCTGATTTAAGCAGGACTAACTAAAGATAAGTATGTAACTATACATCATATTTGTTAATTGTCATTTTATTTGAACAATAGGTATACGCCGCCTTCACTAGTTACCTATATATGCATGCATACGTACAGATAGATGTATTTATGTATCGAAATTCCACTATTTTTAATACCAAGTACGTACGATACAATTAAAAAAGACGAGTTTATATGTATTATCCCTGTAACGGTATGATAAGGAGAGTGACAACATAAAGCCTGAACTTCGAAGGTTCTTCTTCTCTCTACTGATACGTTATATTTTTACCCAAGAGTGATGCAATCATGGGATTCTTTTCTAGCACACAACCACCTCAACCTGCCACCGTGCCGAGCGATGAGATCATCCCTCTCCATTTCTGGAATACTGCTTTATGTATGCGCGGCACGGTTTTGGATATTTCGCTGAAATTTGATGATGTGTTGGATATATCAAAGCTGCGCAGTGCACTCGAGGAACTGCTCGAGATGAAAGATTGGAGACAGCTGGGTGCTCGATTGCGTATGAACGTGGGTGGTTTGAGACCGACCTCCGATTTACACGCTTAATGCTGACCCGGAACGACCTGATAGCCAAATGGAAGACTTGAATATCATATTCCAACGCGTTTCGACGCCTCGAGGCCGGCTTTCGCCATGACCAATGCTCAGCACGAGACAAGCATTGCCGACCACCCCCTTGGCGCCAGAATACCACATGCAACCAGCACGCCTGCCATCTTTCCATCACCTGATGTGTTAAGCCCTCTGTTACGCAGCGAAGACGCACCCAAAAAGATTGATGACTGGATCTGTTCAGACCGGCCCCAACTATCTATACATATCATCACCTTCAGTGACGCCACACTAATTACTGTCACATGGCTACACACACTGACGGATGTTATGGGAATGGCATTAATTTTGAATGCGTGGACTGCTCTACTTCGAGGGAACAGAGAGGCGGTTCCCAAACTACAAGGTTTCCGACTAGACCCGCTCACAGAACTCGGCCAGCGCACCCCAGCGGAAAAATACATGCATTTCAACCGTGTGTTTGGCCGCAAAGAGTTCTGGTGGTTTATCGGGTTGAATGTTCTTGACAGACTGTGGTACCGCCAGGAGGAGCGGCGTACCATTTGTATTCCCGCCGCCAGTTTGCGGAACCTCTGCCAGCAATCATCCAGTGAGATCTGCGCTTCACGCGGGAAAGGGGAGCCAGTGCCCTTTGTGAGTGAAAGCGATGTGCTGTTGGGATGGTGGGTGCGGAGTCTTTACAGCGCGCTGGGGCTCAGGACGGACCAAACTATCCTAGTGAACAATGCGCTAAACCTGCGGACATCTTTGCATGAATCCTTTACGTCCAACAATAGTGCATACATGGGAAATGCACTGTGCATGTCGCCGACCTTTCTACGGGGCCATCAGGTTGCCGACGAGCCGTTAGGCCAAATTGCTCTCCGGATTCGAGAATCCGTCACGGAACAGCGAACCCCAGAGCAGGTCGAGGCGATGACAGCACTTCAAATGCAGACGATGGAACAGACAGGCTATCTGGCCTTGGTCGGTGATCCTCGGATGATGCTGCTATCTTGCTCCAACTGGCACAAGGCCCGTCTCTTTGACATAGACTTCTCGTCGGCCGTGTTACAAAGCTCGGGTCAGTCAAGCCTGCAGAACCCTCAACATACAGGAAAGCCATGCTATGTGAATGGAGTCCAGCACTCGGCAAATTCATTTCGCAACGTTCTTTCGGTTATAGGAAAGGATGCTGGCGGGAATTGGTGGTTAACCGGTGTTCTACGAACCGATGCATGGGTGCATATCGAAAAACAATTGCACAAATTGGGGTCGAGTTAGGTTGTATTCAAAGTATCACAATTAGTGAGCTATATTTATGTGATGTTTTTTTATATCGGTGTACGGTGACTTGAATTTAATCTCTTGAATTTGTATTTCCAAGGTTACGATACTTGCCTTTCCTGTAAGAGTAATGTATTGGTTAAGCACATTATCCCGATATAAAATACAGAGCGTGAGATACTATAAATACACATACAACTAAAATACTCGAAACCGAAACGAAATTGTTTTAGCGTGAGATCCCGTCTCGGGCCGCACGGGACGAACTAGACCCACTATAATCAAATACGGCTGTACGGTATGTTATGTGTATGTGCATACCTGAAATGTGATACAGCTATTTACATAGCAGGTGCAGTGAAGATCCATTGATATGTAAAATACATCTATAGTACGTTTAAACTCCGTATCAACTCTAATTACAAGACGACTTAGTAGACTTGTAGATCGGATCAGTCCTTGCATTAGCATGCGTTGGCATCGGATATCACCGAAAGTAGAACCATATCCTGCACTTGAAGACACACTCGTTCTCATTTTCAAAATTCTGTTGACAAAACTGCTCATCTGAGATCCTCTACACAAAGCATCAACAATGGAGGAATCGAGCCTGCTCTCAGCAATATTGGATCATAGAGATGCCTTGGCATCTGTCGCAGAATTTCTCCGAATTCTGGCTGGAATTTGCTGGACTTTGAACTACTTCAGCATGCTGCGCACGTCGCGAAAAGACAAGATTCCTAGCACAGGTATATTCCCTCTCTGCAATGACATTGGGTGGGAATTCATATATGCTTTTATCTACCCAACCGCGAGCGCTCATTGGGAAGGAGGAGTCCGAGTCTGGTTTTTGGTTCATTGCATCGTCATCATCTTCATCATCAAATATGCGCACAATGAGTGGGACCACTTCCCCCTCATTCAACGGAACCTTTACTTCCTATATGGAGTAGTGACTATTGGCTTCGCCATCGGCCAATATTCGTTTGCGCGAGAGGTTGGGCCTGACTTGGGATTTTTCTACGGGGGTGTGCTGTGTCAAACACTGGCGAGCCTGGGGCCAATTGCTCAGATTCTTTCTCGGAATAGTACCCGCGGTGCTTCCCTGTTGACCTGGTAAGTTCAAAGCTAGGTCGGCCGTTTGCATTCGTCACTAACATGACAAAAGGCTATTGAGAGCGATTGCTACTTTTGGTGGATTCATTAAGTTGACTATCTATTACCTCACTGGAAATGCTGCAGGACCTTGGTTTGAAAGCCCAATGTGCAAGTTCTATATCGGGTTGACCTTGGTTCTTGATTTCACCTATCCGATCTGTTACTATGTCATTCAGCGTCAGGAGTTGGCCAATGCTCAGAATGAGAAAAAGGAGAAGAGCAAATAGGAAAAGCCAGCATGGAGCATGATAGCTGGATGACAAGTTGTTCTGTGAGGGATACGGTATGATGCTAGGTGGTTCGGCAAGGATGAAAGTTGGGTTGCGTTCAAAAGTCTTTACATCTCCGGTCTATTGTATTTAGCATGAAATCACATATTTACGAAGCTGAAGAAGTGTCACAATGCATCAATAAAATCCTATAAAAAACAAGTATCTGCAAGGAGCGAGGATTACGCGCATTTGCACATTTTATAGGTAAAATAGGGACGAACCCAAAAAGGAAAAAGGAAATAGGAAAACCGCACATAACAAGGCATATCGATCATCCAGGGGGAAAGCCAGCAATAAATTGCATTGTACCTATCAAGTGAAGCGGTACACGTCCCTGTTTCGTAACTTCATTTATCTCCGACATTCTTCACCGCCAACAACATCATTATATGTAGCACTAGAAAGATTTGCCTTTTTCTAAATGCAGACATGGAGGAAGGCATGGAAGCTCCCAAGTTCAAAGTCATCATTGTTGGGGGGTCTATCGCTGGGTTGACGTTAGCCCATTCTTTGTCCCAAGCCAATATCGACCACGTCGTTCTCGAAAAGAGAGCTAGAATTGCTCCCCAGGAAGGTGCCTTTATTGGAGTCTGGCCTAATGGAGCACATATACTCGATCAACTTGGTCTCTACCACAGTCTGGAACAACTCACTGCACCACTAAGTCGCATGCATCTTTCCTTCCCCGACGGGTACTCATTTAGCAGTCTCCTGCCAAAGACAATTCATAAAATGTTTCTTCCCAATGTCTCTCAAACCCAGATATCGAACAAATTCTGACTACTCAAACGTAGATTTAAGTACCCCATCGTCTCACTCGACCGGCAAAAGGTTCTTGAAATATTATTTCAGAACTATCCAAACAAGGAAAAAATCATTACCAACCAGAGAGTATCCGAAGTGCGGTTATTGGGCGACAGTGCCAGTGTGGTGACAGAGGATGGAAGTGTATTTCAAGGAGACCTGATTGTCGGCGCGGATGGTGTCCACAGCCGTATACGCTCTGAAATGTGGCGACTGGCAGATGAACTACACCCTGGAATGATCACACCCCAAGAAAGGCAAAGTAGGCAGCATCGTCCTCTTCATGAATTGATTATTTTGGAGACTTCAACTGACTCCTGAATTTCTTCCTGTTAGCTCTTACGGTTGAATACGCATGTGTGTTCGGAATATCGCGAGCAATAGCCGGACTCCGAAGCGGAGAGCATATAAACCATTACGGCGACAAATTCTGTGTGATTACCTTCCACGGAAAGGATGGTCGTGTGTTTTGGTTCATTATCCAAAAATTGGACCGCGTTTACACCTATCCCAACGCTCCTCGGTATTCTCCTAATGATGCAGCGGAGCTGTGTGGCAAGATTCAAAACGTGATCATATGGCGGGATATCACCGTAGGGGACCTCTGGAAGACCAAGCTGGTATCGTCAATGACGGCACTTGAGGAGGGGCTTTTTGAAACGTGGAGCTTGAATCGAATAGTCATCCTTGGGGATAGCGTACACAAGGTGAGATCCGCCAGCTATCCTGGATGAACTGGATTTCCAATGA